TCACCCTGTTACAGGTCTAAATGTGCAATTTGGAGGAAGAATATGAGTCCTTCTTGTTGAACTAGGCGCTGCTTTGTATGTACCGACCACGGAAGCCATCATTCAGATAGACTTGGACTTGAAGCAGGCACTAAGACGCAGAAAGGAGCCATTGGAAAAGGCAACCCCAGCGACATCTACAATAATGGCTCGAACTTGTTGCAGTTTCGTGCAATCAATCGACTCTCTGGTATGAATACTAACTTCGAGGATCCAGTCGGATTTCAGCATACCTTGCATGGTGAAATTTATATAGAAATCGATAATCAATCTGATAATCGTATCATCTGACTAACGATGCTCAGTAATGGATCTTCGCGCCAAGAGAGGCGCACAGCTGTCAACCGATCATCAGTCTGTTGTTATCAGCCTCCGTTATGAAAGATAGAGAATCATACGAAGATCTGGCGACAAAAACATCTTTGGCGGATTTGAGGGCGAAATTCGCAAGCGATATCGCACGACAGTCTGCACAGATCCCGGCGATGACGGCAGGCTTAGGAACAGAGTGGAAGTCTTGTAAGAGCGGCTTACCAGGGGCTGTTGACGAATGTTGCGTTTAAAAACCGCTTTTCCTTCCGCCTCTGGGTCAGAAACTAAATTTTCATGGATGCCGGATGTTCAACTCGATGTCAGCAAAAAGAAAACCGCATCGCATTCAAGTGGTGGCTTGGAACCAAAGAGCATTCAACTCGAATGCATTAACAAGGCACGGGCAAGGAGGCAGCGAAATCAGTGACCAAAGCAAAATCCGATCCATGCCAGAAATTCGGTGAGGTGCTGGAGACGACAAACACATTATTCTGGCAGACCATCCTCTGTCTCTGAGATGGAAAGTAGAGCAGTCAAAGAGTTCTGAAGGACGACTTCTTACCAATGATCAGCGGAGATTTCTGCGATGAAGGGAACACTCTGAGGAACTGCTTGAAACCAAGCGGCAGCAAAAAGCCTCGCCTCAAACGCACCAGGCCAGGCAACGAATGTTAGTCTTTCAGCAGACAAAATCACAGAAGTTGCAAAAGGCTTGAAAAGTGAAAAAGTTGCTTGAATCAATAAAATCCGTCCTTAGACGCTTAAAACCTTGGATGAACGAGGCACATATTGAGGCACGTGTTCGTCATATTGCAATGGCTACGGGGCAAACACAGGTAGACTTAAAAACTGGGGTTGTAGTATTCCTGTTTAAGAAGAAAAACCACAGCGACAGCTTCGCCTGTCGGAA